ACATTACTGAACGATGTTCTAAAGTTTTAATTCTCAGTGGAAATGTTTAGAAGATGTACAGTGATTTATTAACGATTTTCATTTCCGTCCTTGCAAAACTAATCCTGGTCTGCAATTAGTGTATTTGTCTTATCACATAATAGCATGTTTGCGCATTACGTGTTTTCTGCAGTTCGTTGTAATATCCGTTATCAACTTCGAAGTTTTGTAAGGGGCGCCCTCTGTTGATGAGCATAAACTCAGTTGTCTATAGAGGGCGTAATCCCCACTAATACCAGTCTACTAAAATGCGTACATGAAGTTGATTGCACTAAAATATATATATACAGTGTATCAAGCTATCATTAAATTATTAAATGAAGCCACTGCGTGATTAACTCGGTATTCGCATCTCACCTATGTGGACAATACTCTCTCTAGCTAAGCTTGTATGTAAGGGTCATGCAGACAGATTCCGGTACTTTGTTTAGTCATATACAGGGTCATATGCGGGAAAATAATTGAGGCCATGAATCCTATTTTTTTTAGATAAGTGTAATATTACTATACTATACGAAATTAACACAGAGACAATTAATACGCAGCTGGTTCAGATAATATGTTAGTGAATTACATTTATGAAAACTAAAAAAAGTTCACAGACGCCCAGCACCAAATGAATCTTTATTAAAAGTACAGTAGTCCACACTAAAGGTCAAATATTTTGTACAGTAAAAGTAAATGATTGATGGAGGGATATGCAAGAAGGTAAATTTTAGAGGAATCGTGGCAACTATTGCCATTCACCTATGAATGGATTATTACCTCCGATCACAATACTGTAAATACGTTATTTTTTTTATCAAATTCACTGGTAATTTTACATCTTGACGTGGATTTAATTTGGCTGATATATATTACCGCAACCTATAGACTTATTAATATGTTTTCAGTACTCAATTCAGTGTTTTAAAGTTACGAATCTGTAGATCGATATCAGAGTGGCGCCACCGAGGTATGCCAGAAGCGTCCTCTATGGGTGTCAAAATACTACTGTACACTACCACGCTGTCTCTTTATATATCTCGTTTATTTGCCGATACAATGAATTTGTGGAAACACGCATGACCAAATTTAAAAACAGCTAATTTAACGTGGAGGAAAATGTGCCACATCACTAAAAATTTCTTATTAGTATTTATTTTTATTATTATTTTTTTAATTCTAGTTTTGCCATGTGTGATTTAGTGTATCATGATGATACAGCCAAAACACAGTCAGCTTGGACGTTCAGTTGCGCGACATAAACGCAGCGAGTGCTACATTTCGAAAATAAAAATACAAAATAAACGCGCCGGCCACGCGCGTTGAAAATAAATAGAACGCGTTGTGAAACAGTCTCACCAGCCACTCACGCAATATAATTATGCTATTTTAAAACGCATTGTGCATCTGGGAAATCGATGAGTGAACTCGAGCAAAATTATGCTAGTGTGAGAATTCGCTATTACACTCCGTACTCCGCGGAGTACTCGCTAAAACATCGAGAAAATTTGCCATTTCAAAGGCCACCCCTTACAAATAATTGCCTGCGATTTTGTGAACATGACGTGCAAACAAGGATATAGCAAATTATCTTTTTTTCTGTAATATTCGTGTGTAATCAGTAATTATGAAAATAATTTATGGGTGCATATGGAATACATTTCGTTATGAATTATTCTTTTTTTTTCAGTTTTTTTTTCTCCCAAAAATCGAAATAATTTCACAATGTCAAGAACAAAAAGTAGTGCTCAACATTGTAAAATGTTGACTTCATGACACAGCAAACTCTGCTCATGACCGACCGGAGCCGTTGTCTTCGTTGAAAATTCGCCAATTCACCATAAACGTGGTTGTGAACTGTTTGGCTGATACTATATAGATACTAAGTATTTAATTCATATTCACTCCAATCATAGACCTTAAGGTAGAAGCCTACTCATAAATTTAAAAACCCAGAATTTATTCATTTTGCAATAAAATGTACTCCAAGGTAATATAAGGATATTGACCTAAAAAAAGTTGGGGGTCACCAGCCTTTTTTTCGAGAAATTGATGGTTGTATTTTAGTGGAAAGTCGCCATTTTGACACAATTATAACACTTTTACCACATGTTCCTATGGCAGAGATATTATGCAATATCTCAAAATCTAGTCTGGTGACACAGGGTGAAAAAATCATATATTGTTAATGATGGAGTACTTTTTGTTGTTCTGAATTATTTAAAAAATCTGGGTTTTAAAAAGTGTCAAAAAATGCAATTTTTCTTTAACATTGTGTTCTATGGAATTGTTCTAAAAATAGCAATTTTCAAGAAATATTAGGACACATTTCTCAAGCATAACTGTAACACACAAAATAATGCTATTTCATTGTACCATGGGACATTAGCTTCATGATTGTACACAATAAACTAATGAACATTGTCATGCGATTTATGACCAATTTTGACAAAACTTGTGAGTAGGCTTCTACCTTAAGGTCTGTTAAAAAAATCCGGGACAAGGATATGTCTGATGACAACTAATAATACGCAATTCTCCATGCAGTACTAGAAATTATTGCTTATACTAATCACGTTTTTATCGAAAAGTTACTCGCACGTGTAGTAGACGAACATAATAGTACTGTCGCATGTCCTTCGTCTTAGCCACATAACCGCCCCAGTTCGCTTCATGTATGTAACATCGAATATTTAGTTTGATGATTGATAAACTTATATTCACCGTTGCTTTCATGTTACGTTAATACAAACATGATTTAAACTTGTCCTTTCCGGTGTTTTTTTCTTAGCCGAAATATACAGAAATAGCACGTGCGTGCGCGTTTCCGTGAGTAAAAGAGGCAGGTGAGACTCCTTGCCGCAATGCGTTCTATTCATTTCCAGCGCGCGTGGTCGGCGTCTTTGATTGCGTTTATTTTGTTGTTTTATTCTCGAAATGTATCACTGGCTGTGTTTATTTTGTCATGTCTCACAACTGAACGTCCAAGCTGACTTTGTTTTGGCTGTATTCGAAAGAAAGGGATCGATTTTGCAACCAGTTTGCCTCATTTTTTAGTTGAATAGAAAAATCTAATAAATGTGTGTACAGACACCAAAATGGTATAAATTATATTTTGTCCAACTTCATTCTGTGTGTATGAATGTTTTTTTTTATATTTTATGAAACTTTTAAAGGTAAAGTTGACGGTGACACAATACAGAATCAACATCTATTAGGAACAAAACTGAAGCCCAATACCGTGTATTTCTGTCGACCGAAAGGAATCCACGTCAATTCACGCCCCTTCCCTCGCTTGCGTGAATGGTGGCGTAATCAGAGAGCACTGTGGACGCTCTAAACTAAAAACTCAGAGGATTGTGCATTACAAGAAACGTTTGTTGCTTGTACATGTATTTTATTCATGTATATCTGTATTATGAAATGTTACATTCGTTTTGATTTTTCACAGTGAATTTACATGCCTGTAGCCTCTCCGTTTTTTAGGATAATGTGCATCGTGATATAAAACAGGAGATCTATGTATTCATTGCATTTCTTGACGGTCATAACTTGAGTCCACCAGTAATCAATGCTGTCAACTAGCTCTTCTTTCGTCATTGGTTTACGTCGGGCGAGATATTTCTTCAGGTCGTGCCAGATGTCTTCATTCGGGTTAATATCGGGGCTCTCTGAAGGTGTCGGCCACCAGTTCACACCATAGTCTTTCATCCATCTAACAGTCGAGCATGATGTGTAGTTAGGGTCGTCGGGATTTTGCATCAGTCGGTGGTCGGTGATCATGTCTTGGTGCGCCAAGTACGGTAACAGGTGATCGTTCAGGATAGCCTGGTATCTTTCACTGTCCATTTCTTCGTTAAATATACATATCTTCGTCGCTCCTTTTCTTGAAATTCCAGTCCAAATCATAACCTGGAAAATAATTGGAAAGGGTGGAAGCATATACGTGATTCCGTGAATTCTAGACATCTCGACCCAAAAATTTCAGTAAAAATAACATGAAAAAAAAAATGATCATTCGAAATTGTATTTAATTTTCCGACCAGGGAAATGTCACGACATCCACTGCGCATGGTCGTTAGGGGTTGGCAGACCGGCGTATCAGATTTGGAAAACAAATACGCATGATATTTATTTATTTATTTATTTATTAACACACAACATCCCCCGGAGGGGATGAAAAGGGTTACAAATCAGATATTAGTAAAAGAAAAATAACCACATAAAAAGAAAGGGAACAAAAAGGCATATA